GCCTCTCGGGTATCCACAACATACGCGACATATCCCGCGCAACCCTACTGAAGGTAGCGCCTAGCTCTCGCTATTGAACATACTGTGGGTCCACGTTGTGGCCTCTCGCCGTGGATCACCAACTCTCCCCCACGTGGGGTCCTGATTCGCACTAGTTCTTATGCACAATCTATCGCCACCCCATTAGGGCTCAACGAATCCATGCCTATAATCACCTTGTTCCCACGTAACGTAATGGGGACCAAATCCACCAAGTAGCGCTCCTCGAATAACCTCAGAACACAGTCTCTGAACACCACTGATGCCCGCACCGATCGATCATCGACGATCTCTACCTCTAAAGGGCAATCCAACATGCCTGAAGACTCAGTAAACTTCTTGCTAAGCGCAAGAGAAACAAACGATCGGGTGGCACCCGAGTCAAACAACACCTGAACAGGGATACCGTTCACATGGAATGATCCTAAGGTATATACACAGAGCACATATCAATAACATAATATGATGAAAATAAAATAGAGGGAAAGAATCATACCCGTCACCACATCGGGTGCGACGTGTGCCTCCTCGGTAGTCAGCTGAAATGTCCGGCTCCTCACCACTGGAGTCTATGCCTTGCCCTGCCGGCCATCAGTGATCCGCAGGGTTGCTGGAGCTGGCGCCTTCACGGGCGCGGTTGCTATCAACTGAGGGCAATTGGCCTTCTTGTGGCCCCTCTGGTTGCAGTGAAAACACAGCAACTCAGACGTATGTATCACAGGTGTAGGGACGGCACAATCCATGCTGAAATGTCGCGTCTTGCCGCACTTATAGCAGCCCGACGATCCCAGTCTACATGCCCGCTCATGAGGCCTGCCGCATTTCCTACAGTGGCTCGGTGCTAACTGGCCTTTCGGCCTACATCTGATCCCTTGGGCATCTTACTCGAAGCCCCTCCTGTCTGTCCCTCCTCTGTCTTCCTCTTCCGTATGCTCTCCAGATCTATCTCCCTCTCCCTCGCCTTGGAAATCATAGAGTCCAGGGTAGGGCAAGCTGAAAAACTGACATGCTCCCGAATATAGCTCGTAGCATGTCATGATAGTGGGTCCTCCTCATATCCTTATCACCCGCGTACTGGGGCACCAACAACGCCTTCTCCTGGAACTTGGCGGTGATCTCCGCCATGGTCTCCGTCGTCTGCCTCATATCTAAAAACTCCCTGGCTAACTGCTGAAGCTTGACAGCTGGTGCAAACTCTGCCCTGAACCTGGTCACAAAGTCCGACCAAGTCATAGCCTCGACAGCCAAGGCTCCCAACGAGTCACCAACGGACTCCCACCAATCCCTAGCTCGATCTCGTAAACACCCTGCTACAAACCTTACCTTCGACCCCTCAGGGCAGAAGCTAGTCAACTTTGTAGACTCAATGTCTGCAATCCATCGCCTGGTAGCTATGGGGTCCTTTGCCACATGAAAATCCGGTGCACCACTGCCCCTAAAGTCCTTAAAGGACAGTGTGCGAGATCCCGACTGGCCATATGCCATGTCACTCCTGAACGCCCTGAGGTGATCCTCCTTCAACTCAACTATCCCCTCCTTGATCGACCCGAAGATGATGGGGGTCGACTCAAGTATGCCTCTGGTGATCTCTGATGCGATGAACTTGCGTCGCCTCTCATCTACTGGCTCAAAACCTGATCCAGAACCCGATCCCTCTCCTGAACTGCCAACTGTCGACCTCGGACGTAGTACCACCATTCTGCAATACATAAATAACACTCGTTAGTGATACTGATACCTCTTTAGGGATCACCTCTACTACAAGTTCCCTGGTCTTATCTTGGCCTTACTTGGTCCGGGTACGGATCCTCTGCTTCCAATAGTACGGGCACATACTACCTTCCACATATATCCGTACCTTCATCAAGGACTGCCTCGACTCCACCAGATCCCTTTCACTACTATTGATCACTGCTATACTCATCCTAGGCTTGCCCTAGGGAAATCTCTGACTCCACCCTACCCGATCCTCAACTGCTGAAGGCCTCCGAGTAATGCCACTTAGCCATTACCTGAACACCATCACATGTGATGAGGCTCAGATAATCCTTCGAGTAACAGACTCATCCCTACAACGGTTAGACTCAAACAAGAGCTGTGCAATAGGGACAAATCTAGCACTCTAAGATCATTCAACCCTGATCACATGTGATGTGACGTATTCACCTAATGGATAACTCCCATCGCTCAGAGTCCCACGAAGCACAAAGCAAGCAGCATTCAGACAAAAGGAAACAATCTCAAGCAACTTCGCTCACATAGAGAGAGAAACTGAACTAGCATATAGTGATAAACTCATACTATCAGGCATAACCCTAAGAAGCTATCCTACTGTTGTCTACTTAATTCTAGCATGCAATTTTCATACACTGAAGCACATAAAGTAGGCACATAAGGCATCACTCCTAGATCCTTAGTCCTATTCTAGCATGATGTTCAACTGAAACTGATAAACATAACAAAAGCTTGTAAGGGTACTTTGGGGAGTACTTACTTGAGCTCGGCCGGTCGCGCACATCACACACTCTGTTCCTTCTTAAAACTCTTAGAATTTTTTTTTTCAAAATCTTTTAATCCCTGGATTTGAGTCAAGACACCCCCGAAGGTGTGTCCGAATCCCTCAAACCAGGGCTCTATTACCAACTTGTAACATCCCAAAAATTATCGACCAAAAATTTCATTTTTAATTAAGTGAATTGCAAAACGTTAGTAACAAAATATCAATCAACCATATCATTTAATAAAACATGTCTCACGTTTGTAAACCAGAACGTCAATCATAATAATATTAGAGTACAAATCCCAGAATGTCTCATAGTGCGGAAAAACAGAAGCGTGTGTGTGATATGCCGCTACCGCGCTAGCTCCTTCCCCTTAGCTGAAGAGGTACCTGAAACAACAACTAAAAACCATAAGCACGAAGCTTAGTGAGCTCCCCCACTGTACCACATACCATATAATCACATAGCATACATACTGCCAGGCAATTCTGGGGTGCCAAACCTACCCGGTACGGCCATTATGGGGTGTCGACCTACCCGTGTCAAGCCATTCTGGGGTGCTGACTACACATGTCAAGTCGTTCTGGGATGATTACTACCCTGCGGTCCTAACAACCAAACCTCGGGGACTATTTCACCCCTACTACTACTATCACACATAACATAACATAAACATATTACCAGACATATCTGGGGTGCCTGAGCTACCCTTCAGTCCTAACAACCGAACTCGGGGACTGTTCCCCTCCTACTACCTCTATCGCATGTAACATAACAAGCCAGTAGGCAAACATATCATCACATACTGTCAGACGATCCTAGGGTGTCTTACTACGCTTCAATCCTAACAACCGAATTCTACTATTATCACATACAACATATCATGCTAGCATATAACGTATAAGGTAGTAACAAACCTAGACGATATCACAAAGACAATCATCTATCATACATCTCCTACCAGTGGGCTGACATTGTGGCCTTATACCCACCGCTACTGGAAGGTAACTCACCTCGAAGGTAGCTGCTGAAGTCTGCTTGCTAAGTGCCTGACTGCTGAACCGAAACTCCCCGGCTACAATTTCCATAAACACTGAGTCAAATATTGATAACCAATCTTAGGGTAAAATGATTGTTTTACCCCCCCCCCCCCCCCCCGTGCGGTCAAAGTCAACATCCTGGTCAAAGTCAACTTCCTGTTTGACCGGACTTGCCGAGTTGGCTCGCCAACTCGCCGAGTCCCTTCCATCTGTTTTAGTTTTATACCTGTTCTACTCGTCGAGCTTAGCGAAGACTCAACGTGTTCTTCTTCGATACACACATACTAAGTCCAAGTTCATCCGACTCGATGAGTTGAAGAACAGCTCATCGAGTCTAAGGCAATCTTCATCGGACTCGTCGAGTTGCTCATCCAACTCGCCGAGTCCATGGCTATCTTCATAGGACTCGCCGAGTTTATCGTTCTACTCGCCGAGTTTATCGTTCTACTCGCCGAGTTTATTCTGTCCTTTTTCCATACAGACTTGATTTAAGCCATGCAACGGCTCCAAACAACAGATCTAGGCTTCTAGGGCATGCTTATCACGTAAAGTTGCAAACTTTACGTGCATGCATAGCTTTAGGTGCTTCAAATGTCCAAACTAAGCTCTTAATGGGGTTCTAAGCTCAAGAGGGACCTTAATCACCAATATGAATCAAACTTAACACTTCTAGAAGGTAATGAGAGTCCAGATCTGAAGTATAACCCAACCATAAGGTTTCTCTTCAAGGATTTGGGGTTTTAGGGCTTAAAAGCAACAATTTAGGGACAAACAAGATCTAAAAGATCAATAATCAAGATGGAAACTTTATTACCAGAATGGATGACCACAAACGAATGTGTTCTGGATCTAAGTCCCCTTCCTTGACCTCTTCAACCTCTCCCTTCTTCCACTTGCTCCAAAGTGCACCAAAAGTCCCTTCATAAGGCAACAATCACTCAAACTTACCAATGGAGGCTAGGGTTCGATAAGGAATGCTCTAAGGGTGATGGAGGCTGAGATGGGGCTATAAGGATGTTTAAATAGGGTGCAAACCCTAAGGATTAGGGTCTCCTCCTGATTGGCCTACTCATCAAGTCCAGGTGTGGACTCGCCAAGTAGATCACTTAAAGCCCGCATCCACTCGACATTTACTCGGCGAGTTAGGGCTATAACTCGCCGAGTAGCTCTTCCCAAAAAGAAATATTTAATCAAAATAAATACGTACCAGGAACAAGGCGTTACATCAGAAGTTTTTAGTTTTTTTTTTATATAATTTTACTCAATTCAAATGGTTTAGAAAAACAAAACATCTAAAGCCAGTATATGTAAAACAAGATTCTAACATAAATTGACTTTTATATTCAAAATCACTACAATAAAACATAGAAGAACAAGTATAAAAAAGTTCCAAACTAGTTACTCAATTAGACTTTTATAATCAAAGTATCTATTCAAAAGTCAAAGAGAAAAATTGATATTTCCCACTCGTTTACCTCGATTTCTATCGATGACGGTCAAGGAAGGCTCACCGGGAATCTATATTTTCCTCCTCCTCCTTCGAATCGGTGAAGCACTGGAGGTGCTTCCCGATTTCTGATTCCAATCATGCTTCTCCTCCTTAATCCGACGAAGATGAGCACCGGGGGATCTTCCCCTTGATCTTCTTTGTTGCCGGCGACATGAGAGGAACGAAGAACCGTTGATTGCCTTCCTTTGCATCTTCCGCCATTAAAGAATTTTTCAATTGCAATTCTATCATCGGTCTCCGCCATTGAAGAATACGAGCAACATAAGAGGGATGAGGTGGATTTCAACGTTTGGGGAAGCGGTTTTGTGGTTGTGAGCTTCTTGTAGGAGACGTTTCCATGGCAGCAGAGTGGGCAAGGGATTAAACATGGTGGTACGGTTGGTGAACTTGGAGTGAAAAGGGTTTGAGGATTTTGGAGGTTTTATTAGACATGATTTAAGAGAAAAGTTAGGTCAAATATATTTATTTTATTTTCTTAATTGCAAGATTCAATTAAATGATTTCCTTAATTAAAAGTATAAAAAATAAAGATAAAAGGTGAATTAGATAGCAAATACTAATTAACATAGACGAAGGGATGGCTAAAAGAGACACTTTTAAAAAAGATGTTGCAAAGTAGCACCATTCGTTTTAGAATTAACATCATTCCTTTTAAACTTATTGAAATAAGTAATATGTAAATAAAAATAGTAATAAAATAACATTTAGAAAATAATTATTAACTATATTTTTTTGGTGGAAAACAATGTATCATTAGTATCCAGAAAGAGAAATTCTTAGTATCACATGGCATATGGTGATCTTTACAGGAACACCCTAAGTGCAAAGGGAGTCGGTCGGCAATGAGATATATAAGCTATTAGCTGTCAAATTCAAGAATTGCATGCGTTAAATTAAAAAAAAAAAAAAAGTAAATAAATAAATATATAGGTTTGAAAACTTTAAATTTATAAATAAATAATGAATTATTATAATAGAAATGTTTTTTATCTTTTAAATTTATACAAACAATTTAAATAAATAAATAAAACTGATGAGCTTTAATGTTGATAACTTTGAAATTAAAATTTAAGTTCATTAATGAAATTGATATCCATTTATTACTATATTTATTGCAACTATTACATTAAAATATTTTATAAAATAGAAAAAACTAATAGAATGATATGTTGAAAAACAATTAATTCAAAATAACGACAAAATAATATTTGACAAATTGAATGAGAATGTGGCAAAAAAATATATTTATTAGAAAGGATGTGGTCTCGACGTATATTACACCTTTGGCCTCGGTAACGATGTACATCGCACCTTTAGCCTCAGTAACAACTGCTTCCAGTAACATAGTAAAATTTTGTTCAAAGGTATGCCAAATAATTAGAAATATTAGCAAATATCAAAAGATACTTCAAATGGTAACAAAATGTGATAATGCATGATTTTAAAGTAAATTATCCGTTTAAATTGGAAGTAATTGATTATATATATATATATATATATATATATATATATATATATATATATATATATATATATATATATATATTGATGAACTAGGAATTCTTTATGAAGATTTAAAATACAATTTTATTTATTCAAAAAAATTTTGACCTTACCTCAGCAGTAAATTATTTTCATTAATGAAGTTAAGTTTTCAATGGAGTGAATCATCTCACAGTTCACAACTTTAGTGTTTTTTTTATTCAAAAGTTCACTTCAAATTTTTGTGTGGAAATCAAGGCCTACTGTTGCACCCTCTGTAGACAATCCCCTGTCGAGCATCTCTACCATCTATTCCTTTGCCCTTGATCGTTGTTTGACCAACCAATCACAAATGCTATATAATTAGTTATTTATTTTTCAATTCAAAAACTCAACAAACATTACCTTCTTAAAAAAAAAAAAAAAACAAAACAAAACTAAATGGTGTGATAAAAGTTAAAAAAACACCTACGTGACAGCAAAAACTTAGAGGTGACAAAAATTATATGATACAAAACCCGATATGAAATCGACACGAAATAAACGGGTTAAAGTAAAATATTGCAACCTGTATAATTAAACGGGTTGAAACGACCCAAAACGAAAATTAAACAGATAAGGTTAATGTTAAAAACTTCAAGTCGAATATGATTGAAAATGACTCGTTTATTTATATCCAAGTTTTTTAATCTCTTTAAATAAACTATAAAGACTCACAACCAATACGATAAGTAAAAAAAAAAAAAAACTTTGTATTAAATCATTTTCTTATGTGGAAGCAACTTTTTTATGTAGTCAATACTTCATTTCTAGTTTTTTTGTTATTTCCCAAAGTATATAGTTCGCTGGACCACCTCTCCTCCACAAGATCCCGCCTTCCACCTCCGGATTCATACTTTTTCTATTTTGGCCCTCCAAACTTACTACAAATTTGGCTATTCCGCCTCCCAAATATTACTTTGTTATTCCCACCTACACAACTCATACTATTTCAAACGACATATTTCAAATTATAATCTTAACCGGAAACTTAACACTAAAATAAACGGGTTGACACGACACGTCAATTAAACAGGTCGAGTTAAGATCAAGCTCTATCAATCCATTTACCGTTTTAACACGATATGAACCCGATACGACATGTTTGTCAAAATCTTTAAAAAAAATATGTCAACGTATAGAAATGACACTGCACTAGTTACTCTAGCCTAAAATAAACAAAAGTTGAAAATTTTGCTTCTCATAATTACAACATAACCAACGTAATCCATAATTACGTAATCATTGTAATCGTCTGTATAGTGCCGTAGTGGCGACGGAATTAAATGCCCCTCTAGAAAACCCTACAACCACCACAACGCTACAAATAATAAATACAATGTGCTGTTAATATTCATTAAATTCCTCAGAAGGTAGATGGCACTGCCAACTCACTTTTTGACCCTTCTATATCTGTCAAACCAGATCTCCTTCCTCTCACACACTCTTGAAATGGAAAATTTTGAAATCCTTTTCGCCATTGTCACATGCAGTCTCTTTTGTTGTTTATGGTGGAGACACCATTCCACAACCTCCCGTAGGCAGAAAACCCTCCCACCAGGGCCACCAGGTTGGCCGATTGTTGGCAACCTGTTTCAAGTCATCCTTCAAAAACGTCAGTTCATGCACGTCGTAGGTGACTTGCGTAAAAAGTATGGTCCGATCTTCACCTTGCAAATGGGCCAACGTACCTTAGTCATCGTCACAAGCTCAGATCTCATCCATGAAGCCCTTGTCCAAAAGGGTTCGAATTTCGCTAGCAGGCCACCAGACTCCCCTATCCGACTACTCTTTAGTGTTGGGAAATGTGCCATCAATTCAGCGGAGTATGGCCCCCTCTGGCGCACCTTGAGACGGAACTTTGTAACCGAGTTGATCAACCCGACCCGGATCCGACAATGCAGTTGGATCAGGAAATGGGCCATTGAAGAACACATGAAAACACTAGAATCTGAAAACTCACAACATGGGTTCATAGAGGTGATGAGTACTTGTCGACTCACAATTTGTAGCATTTTGATATGTTTGTGTTTTGGCGCAAGATTTTCAAAGGAGAAGCTAAAAAACATAGAGAGCATAGTCAAAGATGTGATGATCATCTCCATGCCGAAGCTGCCGGATTTATTGCCTGTGCTCCTCCCACTCTTCCGACGTCAACTGGTGGCTGCAAAGGAGCTACGAAAGAGACAGATGGAGTGTATGGTTCCAATAATAAGGGCAAGAAGAGAATTTCTTGAGAAAAGTGAAGATAACATGAAAACCCCTACTGTAAACGACCTAAAAGTGGATGATTTGGAGATGGTGAGTCCTCCTGGAGCTGCGTACATTGACTCACTTTACAATCTTCAACCACCAAGTCGGGGGATGTTAGGGGAGGAGGAGCTCGTAACACTTGTGACTGAAGTCATCCTTGCCGGAACAGACACCAGCGCCACCACAATTGAGTGGGCTATGTTTCATTTGGTGACGAATCAAGAAATCCAAGAAAAGCTTTACAAGGAAATAGTCGGAAAAGTTGGTGTAAATGGGGTGATTGAAGAGAGTGATGTGGAGAACATGGAGTATCTAGATGCGGTGGTGAAAGAGACTTTCCGTCGACGTCCACCTGGCCACTTCACACTTTCACACGCGGCCACTCAGCCGACGGAGCTCGGTGGGTACGTGATTCCGACGGGCGTGAACGTGGAGTTCTACACAGCCTGGTTGACTGAGGATCCAGATGCATGGGAAGATCCGGAGGAGTTTCGGCCGGAGAGATTCTTGGAGGGCGGAGAAGGGGCAAGTGTGGACATAACAGGGATGAAGGGAGTGAAGATGCTACCGTTTGGTACTGGCCGGAGGATTTGTCCGGCGTGGAGTTTGGGTACGTTGCATATTAACATGATGCTAGCAAGAATGATTCATGCATTCAAGTGGGTCCCGGTTCCGGGTAATCCACCCGACCCGACTGAAACTTTTGTATTTACAGTAGTCATGAAGAATCCTCTCAAGGCAATGATTATGCCAAGGCACAAATCTTGAATCCATTCTACAAATCTACGGGTCCGGATTTCCGAATTCGTTTGCCTATCTACCCTATTTTTCTAAGAGCATCCCAAACCACATTTTATTTCTACATTTATTTTTATAGTGTAAATTAGAGTTTATAGTGTTCTTCAAAACTCTATTTTAGACTAAAAATGAAAATGTAAAAATAAAGTACGTTTAACATATTTAGAGTACAACTATTTATCATTTTATGAATAGAGTAGGATGAGTTTGAGCATTTACTCTATTTATACTCTATAGATAACGAGTAATTGGAAAAATAAAGTTGGGTTGGATATTTACGAATGCTTGGATAGATATTTAGTTTTGTGGCTGTTGTATTTTATTTCGTGTAACGAGCACCTTGTTTTACCACTAATATATATCCATATTAATCTTTAATTTTTCGCTCACACTAAATTAACATAACTCATATAAATAATTGGTATAAAACAAGAGAGTAATATGAATGTAATGGTTTGATAAAGAAAGTTAATGTCAATATTCAATATTCTGGTCCAATGGTATTCCATGGACCGAAAATGTTTAATGATTTGCTATGATTGTACTATATCTCCATACAACCATAATGAAGTTATTTTTTATTTAAAAATGCAATATATATATATATATATATATATATATATATATATATATATATATATATATATATATATATATATATATATATATATA